TACGTGATAAAATGAAACCGTTAAAGTCCTAGAAAAAAGCATGACAGGATTCCGGTACAACCTTGGAGTGGGAAGGCCTTTCTAAGTATGACTCGGTCTCCAGCAGCCATAAAAGAAAAAGATGGATCAATTCAAACTACATAAACATCACAAAACTTCTGCTTGGCCCAAAAACAAAAAACAAAAAAAACAGCATGAGCAAAATTGAAGAATAGATGACGACGATCAGGGAGAAAACCAGCAACTTCGACCACAAAGAACAAAACTTCCCGATATATTCAAAACAAACAAATTCCTACAGGTTGGGCAGAAAAAAAGACCAACCACCCCACAGAAAACTGGGCATTTGGGCAGCTCCCAGGAAAAGGAACTACAAACAGCCCTTAATCATGTGAAAAGCTATGTAACCTCTTTCACACAGAATAAGAAAAACGTAAAACAAAATTACACAGAGAAACTATTTCTCCCTATCAGATTGGTCCAAATCCCAAACCATGGCAATATAAGGTCAGCAGGGTGGTGGGGAGAAGGGCCGTCTTACACTTTGTTGGTGGGACTGCTAATCAAATTGGTACGTCTCCATGCTGGGCAATTGGGCCATGTTGATCAATGTTATGGCAGGTCCACCCTTAGCCCTAACAATCGCATTTCTGGGAATTTATCCCACAGATATATGTCTGCACATATGTGAAATCACAAATGTACAGAGTTACTCACTGTAGCATTCTTCGTAGTAGCAAAACTTTGGAAACAACATAAATGTCCATCAGTAGAAGACAGATAACCTAAGTTATGGTACATCCATACAATACAATAACAGATAGCTATAAAGAAGAATGAGATCACTTTTTTGTACTACTATGGAAAGAGCTACTAGATGTATTATTAAAAGAAAAATGGAGGGGGGAAGGATAAATTAGGGGTTTGGGATTAGCAGATACAAACTACTATATATAAAATAGATAAACAACACGGTCCTATTGTATAGCACAGGGAACTATATTCAATATCTTTTAATGAACTGTAATGGAAAAGAATATGGAAAAGAATATATAGGTATAACTGAATCACTTTGCTGTACACCAGAAACCAACACAACACTGTAAATGAACTATACTTCAATAAAAAATAAATAAAATTCAAAAAAGAAAAATGCAAGGTTCCGAAGAGTATGCATAATGCTATACGTTAATTTTAAAAACAGCAGTGGGGAACAAGGATACATATATTCCTATTTGCTTCTGTGTGAGTAAAGAAACTCAAGAAAGGTGCACAAGAAGCTAAGAGTGGCTGATGACGACAGCAGAGAGGTCTGGCAGATGAGAAGCGAATCTGGGGGGAAGACATTTCTCTGCATACATCTAAAAACATTTTTTATTTCCCCCCCAAACACCACATAATTTGCAGTAAGTGATTCACTCCTTTAGCTCCCAAAGAGGGCCCTTATCAAAGTATAGCTATTGGACCTCAAATCTCCTTCACCCCTAAGAATCCACTCCTGTGATTTCTCCCTCCCTCACCCTGGAAACCTCCACGTGAACCACCCCCAGGTTCCAAAAGGGTTGGCTGCTGAACAGCCGGTGGTCCTGCCTTCCCCCTCCCCGGCCCAGGGATAAGCCACAGCCAACGGCCGGCCCCTGGCCTCGCGGTGGGACACTGTCTATGGCACCTCACACTCCAGAGCTCCCCCTGGGATCGGGCTGAGGCTAGACTCCAGCGGAACCCACAGCCTTGCCTGGTTTCTCTCTGTTGTAACTTGCATCCCTCACCTCCTCATTGGTTTCTCCTGAGAGCCTCCCCCAGTAAATCACTGCTGCTTCAAGGAACCCAACCTAAGACATCAACCAAATAAAGCACATAGGTTGATAACAGATCCCTCTCTCTGAAACAAACCACCAGGGGCACTTCTGATGAGCACAAGAATCAGTTTCCATACTAGGTGCTGACCTAACACCAACCAAAAGCAAAGACGTTGCTGGGTAGACTTCGTACAGGCAAGTAGATGGTTTCCAATGAGGGACAGAAGATACTGACAATAGCTCATCCATCTCCACCCTCACCACTTACAGACTTAAGGTTCCAGGGCTGCCAACCTGAGAACCAGTGCCCTAAATCATGACCCTGGAGACTGTAGCTGAATTTCCTGACAACTGGCTGAGAGCAGGACAAACAAACAGGGTTGGGAGGAGGAGGGGGTCAGAGGCTCGGGTGATCGTCAGCTGGCTCTGCCTGCCACGCCAGAGACCGCAGAGTTGCTCCCATAATCCGTCCCCCGCTCTGGCATACAAGAGCCTGTGGCTGAGAAGCTGCATTTTTCTGTCCGCCAGGTAACATGGCAAAATCCTCACCCTGGAATGTGAGTGGAAGGGCTGTGTGCCACGTCCGGGCAGCAGCTTCAGAGGGTGGGTGTGACGCGTCCACACCTGTACCAGACCCAGGGCTGCCCCACCCATGTCCCCTCGGCATCTGCTGTATGTGGCTGGTACATAAGATTGCTCACGGCCAAGCCCTTGAACTCTGCCTGATGGCTTTTCCTGGCACAGGAAGCATGCCTGGCCAGTGCACAGGGCAGGTTGGAAGCGCCCAGAAAGGAATGCCTCCAGTGCCAGCACCCTCAACCAAACCCCCAGGCATGGGGAGCTAGTGGACCATGGCTTGCTATGCCCCTCCTGTGGGGGAACAGTCTCCCAGCAATCCCCTCTTGGATTAAGCTCCAACTGCCCAGATCAGTAACTTCTCCGGTTACAGCCCTTGCATTCGTTGTCTTTCTTTTCCTGTCCCACTTCCCCACCTCCCTACATCTGTTGCTTTCTGGGATCACCTGCTAAGCCAGCAACTTGAACTTGAACTCTTGACTCAGAAGCAGCTTCTGGAGGAAACCAAACCAGAACAATTCTTACTGGCTGAAAACCAGAACCCCAGCTCCAACCATGCACATGTTCACAAGGTCCCAGGGCAACAGATGAAAGAGGTTCCAGGACTTCCCTGGTGGCGCAGTGGTTAAGCATCTGCCTGCCAACGTAGGGCACACGGGTTCGAGCCCTGGTCCAGGAAGATCCCACATACCGCGAAGCAACTAAGCCCGTGCGCCACAACTACTGAGCCTGCACTCTAGAGCCCACGAGCCACAACTACTGAGCCCGTGCCACAACTACAGAAGCCTGCACGCCTAGAGCCTGTGCTCCCCAACAAGAGAAGCCACCGCCATGAGAAGCCCGTGCACCGCAACGAAGAGTAGCCCCCGCTCACCGCAACTAGAGAGAGCCCGCGTGCAGCAACGAAGACCCAAAGCAGCCAAAAATAAATAAATAAATACATTTATTAAAAAAAAAAAAAAAAAAAAAGAGGTCCCAGTCCCTGAGTGATTGTATGGAGGAGAACTACCTGCCAACCCAGAGCTGCTAGGTGAGGAAGAAACACCCTTCTCTCTTCTTTAAGCCATACCACATGCTGGGAGTCTTTGTTCCAGCAGCTGTGCCTTGTCTTAGCTGGTACACCTACCCAACCTCCATTTCCTCCCTGGGCACTGCACCCTGCTTTCTGCCGGGGAAGCACTTTCCCATCCCTCCCAAGCCAGAGGTGTAGCCAGCCTGCTCTCTCCAGCCCTGCTTCGGAGGAGGCAGGAGCACGTGGCTCAGGCCTGGGCCAGCAGAGCACAGTGATTGGCTAGGGTTGGAGGGGAGAGATGATGACAAGAGACAGACGGGGCCAGTCAGACACAGGAAGCATCAGCCCAGGATCTTTGGCTAAAAGATAAACCCCCCTTCTGCTGGCTGCTGCACAGACGTCCAGAGCAGTGGATGGCCATCCAGCCCCCACTTGAATCTGCCTGAGAAAGAAGCCACCTGGAGGAAAACTGGATAAAAGACAGAAAGATAAAGGATATGATTTAAGCACCTAGATCCAGCCACCCCTGAAGCTGGAAAAACCCTAGACGTTACAACTAATACATTCTTTTCTTCTGTTAAAGTCATTTTAAACTGAGTTTCTGTCACATGCCACCAGAAGAGTTCTGTTTAATAAAAATCTGACCCTAAAGAGACCACCACGTCAGCTAGTTCACAATTCCCTATGCAAAACCGGCCACAGGCCAGCTGGCCCAGCCAGTCATTGAGATATTCCTTTACAGGAATGCCAGGTAACTGAGGAAGGCAAATCAGCCACCTTCTAGCCTCTCTCCCCTCTATCAACTGCTGAGACACAACCCAGTTTGCCCACTGGACCAGGGCTGAGCCCTCAGCACTGGCTGTGTCCCTTGAGGCTGCACTGGGCAACCACCACACCCCACATGCCACTGTGGGTCCCAAGGGCAACCCTGCCACTGCTGATGCTCGAACGTGGCCATTTAGACCACGTGGAACTGCAGCCTCGGCCCAAACACCCAGACCTTCAGATGCAGCAGAGCAGGACCCATGGTGGCCCCTCAGGCTGGCCCACAGCACTGAGTCTTACCTTCAGAGAAGCCGGAGGGGTGAGGATCCCCCAAAGCCTGCCCTAGTCTCACGTTTGCCTCTTGTGTAGCCAACACTGGACCTGAGGCCTTGTCTTTCCTTTTTGAAGGGAGGGTGGGGAGAGGGAGGGAAAAAGGAGTTCTGACCAGACTTAGGGGCCCAGGACCCTTCCTCCAGCGGCCAGCCCGGCCGACGGCCTCTGTGGTTGCCTCCCCTGCCCCCAACCACCTGGCACAGGGATGCTGACCCCCCAGGAGTGCTCTAGAGGACATCATGCAGCGAGGGGTGCCTGGTTCAGTGCCCGGTGCATCGTAGGTGCTCGGAAAGAGGGTTTATTTCCTCCCTCTCTCCCTTCCTTCCTTCCGAAAGAAAAGTGCTGACTCAGCAAAGAAATGTTGAGTTATACGGGATGTACCACTTAAACTGCCCGGATCCTGACATGAGGCCCTGCCCACAGTGGTGGCAGGGGAGGGGGCAGGGGGGAGAAGTAGGGAGAGAAGGTGGGAGGGAAGGGGGGAGGGGAGGAGAGGAGCAAGGGAGGATAACGGATGGGAGGGAGGAAATAAGAAAGAAAATGGCCTCACCATCCAAACGTTCCCAAAGAAAGACTTCCTTGACTTTCAGAGTGGAAATGAGCCTGCGCACACCGCCCCGTCAGCGCCCAGGCACAGCTGATCCACACCTCCTACAATTCAATCCCTCCCGGCCACAGAGGCTCCTGAGAGTTCTAGGTCCTTCCTCCAGCCCCTGCAGGCACAGAAAGACCCTGGAGACCACCTCACACACTCGCCCCATCCCCCCGTCGGCTTTATTGTTAACCTCCCACAGGAGAAGGTGCAGGTGGCCAAAGGTCACCTCGCGCAGCAGTCACATGCCCGGAAGGAGATGCTGACGCCGCCCTCACCTCCCCCCCCCCCGCCCCCCTGCAGGGGCACTGAGGGCCCCCAGGGTCTCCTCATGCTCCAGCCTCGGCCCCGCGATGTCCACGATGTCCCTGGTGCTGGACTCACGGAGGGGGGATGGCCTTCAGCCAGCAGGCCCGGTCCTGGAGGCCAGAGCATCTCTGCAGCAACACCCTGGCCCAAAGAGCATCTGTGAGCCGCCTGCCAAGCTGAGCCCAGCGCCTCTGCCTGGCAGCCACGTGTGGGGCTGTCTTGTCACCAGCTGTCTGTTTACCTTTACCCAACGCTCAAGATGCCCTTCTTCAAACCCACCCACTAGTACAAAACATCACCCCCCAAATAACCTGAAGTCGAAGGTCCCACGATATGCCCTGGACAGGGAGCTGCAGGTCAACGCTCTCCTGTTTCATTCTGATCAGGAAAATGTCACCAGGACGTTTCCTTTATTAAAATAATTCCTGCTAACTCTTTCAGAATAATAGGATTCATTTTCCCTGCTGGAGGAGCATTTCAAGTGGAAGTACTTTTATTTCAAGGCACCATATCAATCTCTCCAAGGGGTGTCTCTCTTAAGAACACCCCTGCCTCCATGTGTGAAAATCCTAAAAAAAAAAAAACAAAACAAAACAAAACAAAAAAAAACCCAAACCCCAGACGGTGATCATAACCATCCACAAGCTTTCATTCATGTGACAGTGTTCCTGAGGATACGGGTTACGGGGGGTCTGAAGCCACTGTTATCACTGAGAGCCTTGGAACGGAGCCCCCCATCAAGGCCCCCAGAGGACAGAGAGATGGACGGAACACTTGGACTTAGAAAGAGCCCGTGGGTCAGGGGGCCCTCAAGACTGGGAATCTGTGGACACGTGGCAGCATTGGCATCCACGCCCTCTCCTACTTCTCCTCCTCCTCACTCAGGTTGGCATTGCCCTGGAGCGTGGATGTCAGCTTGTTTTGCAAGAGGGCTGCCAGTTTCTTGGATGTCTTTTTGAGGAACGCGCTGCCCGGGTGGGCACCATTCACATGCAGGTACAGGTCCTCCTGGGTGGGGCCCGTGTAGCCACAGTCTTCGCAGACGTACAGCTTGTCCCGGCGCTGCTTGTAGGCATACTGCTGCTGCACCCCATGGATCTTCTTCAGGTGGGATTCCAAGGAGCAACGCTGGGTGAAGGCTTTGTGGCAGACGTCACATTTGTAGGGGCGAATGCCTGCAGGGTGAGGGGCAGACACAGCACCAGTCGGTCACAGCCCAGCCAGAGCCTCCCACTATGAAGCCATTAAAAGTCATCCTGCACCACCCAACGGCAAAAAACCAACAACACAATTCAAAAATGGGCAGAGGAACCGAACAGGCATTTTTCCAAAGATGTACAAAGGGCCGACAGACACATGAGAAGATGTTAACCATCACCAATCATCAGAAAAATGCAAATCACAACCACATAGAAAGGAGAGATCACCTCACACCTGTCAGAATGGGCATTATCAAATAGACAAAAGGTAACAAATGCGGGCGAGGGTGTGGAGAAAAGGGGACCCTTGTGCACTGTTGGTGGGAATGTAAATTGGTGCAGCCACTGTGGCAAACAGTATGGAGGTTCCTCGAAAACTTAAAGACAGACCTTTCTGTAGGATCGAGCAATCCCACTGTGAGTATTTATCCAAAGGAAATAAAAACAGGATCTCAGAGAGATATCTCCACAGCCATGTCCACTGTAGCACTATTCACCATCGCCAGGACATGGAAACAACTTAAGTGTCCACCAACAAATGAATGGATAAAAGAGGTGTGGTATATATCTACAATGGATTATTATTCAGCCAGGAGAAAGAGGAAATCCTACCATTTGCAACAACATGGATGGACCTTGAGGACATTATGTTCAGTGAGATAAGCCAGACAGAGAAAGATGAATAGTGCGTGGTGTCACTTAGATACAGAAAAGTCAAACTCTCAGAAACAATAGAAAAATCATTGCCAGGGGCTGAGGGGAAAAAAAAAAAATCATCATGACCAAGGATGAGAAACATGAGGAAAATGTTAAGGCAGGAGACAAAACTGTCCACAGAGCAAACATAATAAAAAAGGATGCATACAGCAAAACACCACCACTCGCCTGCCTTAATGTCTGGGTTTCAAAGCGGGCAGAGTAAACCTTGTTTTCATTTTAGTTTGGGTTTCACTGGAAAAGGAGTTATTTGGGAGGTTGCCCTCAGGAACGGTGACCCCATGAAAAGTGGGAGGTGACTCCCCAGCTGCAGGGGAGGGAAGATGATGATGACAAGGGGGAGAGGGGTCATCCAGCCAGTCACCACTGTGGGCATCCAGAGTCCACGTGGCCAGACAAGGTGCGGGACAGAGCAACACACACCTCCCATTTACCCTGGCCCTCGGGAGCTGGAGTCTTTGTTCGCCTGCTCCAGTAGCACCGCGGAGAGCACCCTGGGTGGGACAGGTTCTCTCTCCCCAGCATGTACAGCCTGCCTTGGGGTAGAGTGGCCTCCAGCAAGGACACCCTCAGGCTGGGCTGCAGGTGTGGGCAGCCACGACCTGGACGGGTGTGCCCAGAAATGGCAGGGGTCACAGGACACTGATGGCGTCGGCTACAGTTAGGAAACCATTTCCAACCTAGATCTCCTGCTGGCTTTAAAAGTGAGCTACCATGAGTGGGGCCTGCCTTCCAGATGGAGAGGCCACAGGTACCATATGAGCAGGGAGCTCAGCCAATCAAACCACAGTCATGCCCATGCCCACCGTGGGCACCCGACAGTGTGAGACGGGAACTTAGGTAAGGAGACCTCAGTAGGTGTATCTCAGGCTCTAAAGTCGGGGGGGATTCAAGGAAGCATATAGTGTCCCATGAGCACGGAAGCCCAGAGAGGGTGAATGCTGTGTTCGGGGTCCGTGGAACAGAGTGGGCTGCCAGCTCTCAGAGCATCTCAGAGCCCAGAGGCCAAGAGGTCCACTGCCCGCAGTAATCCCCAAAGCTTTAGGCTCAAAATTTAAGAGTATGTGAAAACATCAATCAAGATAAATATTTTCAAAATTAAAATACATACAAAAAAATCCATGATGAACAAGTTATCAAAAATTTAAGTAAGGACAGGATCCACCAGGGCTGCATGGAGTCATGTTGGAGCTTGAGGCGAAAGGGAAAATGTGCATCCCCATGTAGACGTTTTTATTTGTTTTTTTAATGGTTAATTTTTTTTCCCCAAGAACGTTCGAGTTGCTGAAAGAATAGTGAAAAATTGAAAAACAGGTGTATTAAAATTCACATTCTAAAATGCTTAAATAGTTTATTTATGCAATAATGGGTTTTATCATGATTTTACTATCCTGGCTTTAACGGAAGCAAGCTATTATCAAAAGATATTTTCAAAATCTACTTTTCTCGCTTAACAGTATTCCTGGTGCACCGTAACACACTGATCAGAATGGCCATCATTTAAAAGTCTACAAACAATAAATGCCGGAGAGGGTGTGGAGAAAACGGAACCTCCTGCACTGTTGGTGGGAACGTAAGTTGGTGCAGCCACTGTGGAAAACAGTATGGAGGTTCCTCAGGAAACGAAAAATAGAGCTACCACGTGATCCAGCAATCCCACTCTTGGGCATACATCCAGACAAAACTATAATTTAAAAAGATACATGTACCCCTATGTTCATAGTAGCATTATGCACAATAGCCAAGACATGGAAGCAGCCTAAATGTCCATCGACAGATGAATGGGTAAAGAAGATGTGGTGCATATATACAATGGAATATCACGCAGGCATAAAAAAGAATGAAATGATGCCATTTGCAGCAACATGGATGGACACAGAGATTATCATACTAAGTGAAGTAAGCCAGACAGAGAAACAAATATCGTATGATATCACTTATATGTGGAATCTAAAATATGACACAAATGAACCTATCCATGAAACAGAAACAGAATCACAGACATAGAGAACAGACTGGTGGTTGCCAAGGGGGAGGGGGTTGGGGGAGGGATGGAGTGGGAGGTTGGGGTCAGCAGATGTAAGCTATTATATATAAGATGGGTAAAAAACAAGGTCCTACTGTATAGCACAGAGAACTATATTCAATACCCTACGATAAACCATAATGGAAAAGAATATCAAAAAAAAGAATGTATATATATATATATATATATATATATAAAAATAACTGAATCACTTTGCTGTACAACAGAAATTAACACAACATTGTAAATCAACTATACTTCAAGAAATAAATAAATATTCCTGGAGATTTTCCCATATTGGTGCTTACAGCTTGGTCTCATTCCTTTTTAAGAGCACCGTGGTGTTTTGTTGTACAGCTGCACCCAAATCCCATCTTTTAAAAACTGTAGAGACTGAGGAAGCCCTGCTCCAGCCCACACCCTCCCATCACATGATGCTGCCTTGTACGACCTGGTACTAAGGTGTCGTCCACCTCACATCACATCACCTAGGAGCTCGTTGGAAGCGCAGAGCCTCGGGCCCCACGCCAGACGTCCTGATCCAAGCGAAAGCAGTGTTTCTCAAATGTGAGCCCGAAACAGAACCACCTAGAGGGCTTGTCAAAACACAGATTCCGGGCCCCCCTGCTGGCGGATCTGGTTCCGGGGTGGGGATGAGAATCTGCATTTCTCACAGGTTCCCAAGTGCTGCCGAGGCTGCTCATGCTGGAGTCACAGGTCTGAAGCAACGCGTGGTGAAGACTTAGGACGGCACTTGGGGTGTCTGAGGCAGCCAGGCCCCCCCAAGTCCTCTCTTCAAGGTTAAACGTCCCCAGTTCCTCACTGGTGGCGCGTGGTGGGGGGCCGGGAGACCTATGTCTGTTCATGAAGTTTTTTAAGTACACAGATGACAAAGGAAGTCAAAATGGAAAAAAATACTCCCCCCACCCTCGTTCAACCACCTGAAAAAATCGAGTCGCTTCCACTTTTCTTCCTGTCCACATCCAGAAGCTCCCATCCTTTCCTCTAACGTTCATGTGAAAAGAATTGTGTTAGCTCAATGCCGTGGTGGGGTGTTCCTCCAGCCCACCCACGCAGAAAGCAGGCCTGTATTATATTCTACATGTTTCAGAAAAACTGCTAAAAGAAACTCCTTTATAATCCTCAGCACTTGGCGCATAATAGGTGCTCAGTAAATCATTTTTATTTTTTATTTTATTATTTTGTTTTTGGCCACACCACGTGGCTCGTGGGATCTTAGTTCTCTGACCAGGGATCGAACCTGGGCGCTCGGCAGTGGAAGCGTGGAGCCTTAACCACTGGACCAGCAGAGAATTCCTAATAGGTGCTCAGTAAATAATTTTTGAATGAATGAATGAATGAATCCTACTGGCCCAGGAAAAAGAGAGGTCACATCTTGGGGCTAGTTTTCTACAAACGTAGGGGCCGTGAGGCCTCTCCAAAGGAATACACCACGTAGGTTGCATGTCTGGGCCACAAGGGGCTTTGTGTTAACCAGGCCTCTGCGTCCACATGGCAGCTGGTTCCCACCACCTCTGGCTGATCAAGCAGCAACCCGACTTCAGACCCGAAGCTCATCAAGACAGAAATTCACCCAGAGGTCAGCTGCTCCTTTCAAGGGTGACTGGAAACAGCCCTCGACTATTTTAAAACATCCAAACTCAACCGGTGGGGAAACCAGCACACTGACACCAGGCTTTAACCTGGATTCTGGAAGTGGACGCTTCAAATCCTGCTCCTGGGGGTCCCCACTCCCAACGGTGACCTGAGAAGGTGATGCGGACAGGGCTGCATGGCTTTGCCTGAGCCCTGCCCCTTGCGGAGGGCATCGGGCCAGGGCCAAGTCCACTCGCACGGTCACGTCTCCTTCCTCTCTTCATTCCGCAGCTCAGCCGAATCCTACGGGCACAGCACCCAGCAGAGCCTGGATAGCCAGGGCTAGAGGGTTTCAGAGCCCTGCACCGTGCAGATGACGGCTAGGATGAGGATGACTGCGGGGGGTGGAGCAGGGTAGACAGGAGGTCCCCACACCTCCAGTTATGGCAGTTAATTCTGACTTTTGCAAACCTACCCTCCCCACCCCGCTCTGCAAACACCACATTCATCCCTCGCTCGCTGGTGCAGGCAGACATGGTCACCCAGCAGCTGTCTCTTGGTGACTCTTTCTGGGCTGGGGAACAAGTCCCTCCCTCCTGGAGTCCTCCTCTCCCCCAAACTCGGGGAGCAGGGGATG